TTTGAAAGGGTTTTAAACCAGCACCATTCACATAAAAACAAAAGTATCATACCCTTTTAATAAAGAAATGCACTTACGGGTCCATTTTGAATATCATCATTTTTCTCTTTTCACATGGTGCCAACTGCAAATACACCATTCCAAAACCTTTTTCTATTTTTTTTTCTTCTTTTCACATGGTGCCGACGCACCATTCCAAAACCTTTGGCTATTGTTTTTCTTCTTTTCACATGGGGAAAAAGGTTTTGGAATGGTGTGTCAGCACCATGTGTAAAGAAGAAAAAAAAATGATGATATTCAAAATGGACCCGCTAGTGCACTTCTTTATTAAAAGGGTTTGATATTTTTGTTTTATGTGAATGGTGCTGGTTTAAAGCCTTTTCTTTTGTTTCATTCCTTTTATTTTATTTTATTTTTACAACTCTTTAAGTTTTTTTAGTTACCCAAGAAGTCATAGTAACAATAAGTCTCAATTTGTGTTCCTCCTCCGGTGAGTTTCGAAAAAGTCTAAACGGTTCCCATAAGTTTTGGAGTCAAGAGTAGTGTCTGCAACTTATGAGAAGATCAAACCATTAGATTTAGTTCAAATTTTAGTATGATATGGATAAGAGGATACTGAACAACTTTCGTGAAGAAATAATTTCAATCTGAGCTACTGAAAATGGAGTTTCGGTATGCATAAGATGGTTGTCCAGCTTTTTGCAGAATTTTCAGACATCTGCAACGATCGCACCGTTGGAATTTTTTGAAAATTTGATATGTTATAGGTACTGAGCCGATGAACAACTTTCAAGAAGAAAGTATTTCAATCCAAGGTCAGCAAGTTAGAGTTCAAAGGTTGTTTACATGGCTGTCAGATATTCTATGGATTTTAAGTCTGTACCCTTTTGCTTCTACAAAGGATGACATACAGTCATACAACAAGATACATAGTTGCTTCAAGAAAATCAGTAGTACAGAGATTTGAAGATGAAATGAAAAGATTTTCTTATCTGTGAGATTCTAGCTGATAGAGGTGAGATGTAGGTAGTGCTTCATCGGATTTGTGGCATTGTGCTTTCCACTGACACGAGAGTTTCTCGTGCTGATAACGTGTTGTAAAATCGACGGTATGTGTGCAGTAGAATAAAAGTAAATAAGATATGATATTGATGAGGTTCCTCTACAGTTAGTGTGACTAAAATACGTCCTCGTGGCAGCAGTGATGCTTTTATTTATAAACTGGAATAATAGGAGTACAAAAATAACTCTCTATGCTCTTATCTCTTCTTCCTCTCTTTTCTTTCCTCTTCCTTCCTCTGTCTTTCTTCCGTTTGTTTTGTGTGTGTGCTCTCCTCCTTCTCATTCATTTTATAGGCAAAAGAATCACTATTTATATGGACCATCCACATGTTATTTATAACAGATAGGACATAATTGAGGAGAGCCCGTGAACGAAATTTTAATTATTTTTTAATAAATTTCTTCCAACTAATCTTCCAATCAACCTCTCACTTACTTTACTTTTATATATGAATGGGGAAGCAACATGTGATCAGTAAGACAGTAACTAGTTGCTGTTGTTGTTGGTGTTGGAAGTGGAAATCCCGTTCACCTTCCATTGTCTCACTAGGGCTATAGGCCACTATGAGTTGATATGGGAAAAGAGCTTGGGTGGACAACATCACGATAACGTCATTCGTAAGATAATTCTCACAATATAAAATTTAATTCTACGTTTTAATAGAGAGAACCTTTGATAGAGGTGTCATGCGATCCAGCATTTAAGACAAGCTAATAAGACGTCGCCACAGTTATATGTATGAAACCAAACCAACCGAACATCGTTAAGGTTTGTGCGTGTTTGCGAGGGGGAAATGGAATCCATTGCCCCACTGAGATTTTTCTACCACCGGATTCCATGCTTGCTCAATCTATGTGAGAGCTGACCTAATAAAGCAGTTATACCGAAGTCTCTCTTTTGATATAGGTGCCCATATTAGATAGTTGAGTCTATAGACTTCAATCATAAAAGTCATTAGGCATCCATCACTCACCCATTCAGTGTTTATCCTTAAGCCCTCTTCACTTGTAAGTCAGATGTCTTAGTTCGATTCTTATCAGAGACAAATTTAAACCACATTATTGTTAGCCCATTGTGAGACTAAGCACATCCCCTCTCCGTTAGTATAGATAATATGGTTTGTGAAAAACAAAGCCTCTTCAACTTCCCAAAGTCTCAAATTCAGATTGAACAAATTTGCATACAGGGCTATTTCACATACAAGTTGACTGACTTTTCTTGTTAGCACTGTTTCTACTGGGAGATGCTCCAATTAATAAGAAGATACAAAGGAAGATGTAAAATTAGGGCAGATGACAACAATGCTTGCTTGGTTCCCATGATTTAGGTTACAAGATTTGGATGCTGTCTTTCTTCTTGAAGTACTTCTTGTCTTTCATCCCGGATCAAAATCTAATATGTTTTTTTCCGTTCCTCGAGAGCCACTTAGTTCTCCGAAACAAGAGATCAAAGCGATTGTCCTCGTTTTTTCAAGTAAGTCGCCAGTGTTACACCGTTGGGATACTTCGAGTAAACTAGAGTATGTATAGGATACATCGGCGCTAAAACCTTTTTTCAGCTAATTTCATGTCGTTCAACCTGTCAGATAATCCTGCTCTTCGATAGCCGGCAACCACCAGATCATAAGTTGATTTCGTAAGTTCATAAGAACCCTCAATACGTTCCAAAAACAACTCCAGCCTGTCATGAGCGGAGCACCTGAAGTACGAACAGATTACCTTTTCGACATCATCCTGATGTTTAAATGACAATCCTTGCTTCAACATCCTCCCAACAGAGTACTCTACATCATCCAATCTATCCAATGCAGCATTCAACCGTATAATTCCACAGTGGACCAGCAACAGAACTTCCGAAACTTGATTGGCCTCCGTAAGAATTACAAGCAACTCCTCCAATTTCTCCATCATCTTAAGTTCAATGTACAATCCCACAACCATCTCAGCCATCTTCTCGTTGATCTTCAATCCGGCATCTAGCACCATCTTCAAAAAGTCTATAACTAAATCAAAGCTTCTCTGTTTACAAATCCCTTCCACCATACTTTCCAATACAGGCAAGCTTGGCATGTGCCCTGATAACACCATTTCTTCATAGAACCTATCACCCAACTCAAAATTGTTTGATTTAATGCACCCTGAAATCAGATATTCATAGGTTTGAACACCAGAAGTGAATCCGGCAGCCTTCTTGGCCGAGTACCAAGCTTGCACAGAATCAGCATTGCCCAACTTTGAGAATGCAAACATGAATGCATCATAAGTGTCGGAATCGGGTTTAAATCCCTCCGAGCTCTTCATTATCTCATATAGGCTTAAAGCTGTCAGCACATTACCAGAAGAGAAGCAAACACGTATAAGGGAGTTGAAAACGGCAGAAGTGGGTTTGATTCCATTAGCCTCCATAGAAGAAAACACTTGCATTGCAAGTGGGAGATTGTGAATTTTTCCACACAGAGATATCAGCTCGGAGTAACGATCATGATCTCTCTCATTCGCCTCGAGCAACTTCTCCAGTTTCCACTCCAAAACCTGACTAATCAAACAATGCGCAGACATATATAAGTAGAAGTTGGTTTCAATCTTCTAGCCAACCAAGAAAAATGCAAATTATCCAATTAGACTAATCAATCACAGGGCCTGTTTGAAAGTGCTTTTACTAAAGCCCTCTTAGATAACCAAAATCGTTTATGGCAATGTTTGTCACAAATTTTTTTTTGCTACTTATGGATTGTAAAATATTAGAAATTGTTTCCACTCCACGTTCTTCCAATAAAAGCACTTCCAGTAAAAGCGCGTATGGGCATTCCGTATAAGCCCAATCGAGTTGAGTTCTGGACTCATTTCCCCACTTAAACAACATAAACCATTTCATTTTCTATTAATTTTATCAGCAACCAAACAGCGGGTGAGAAAATACAAACACTTCTCAAGAATCTAACTTTGAGCTACAACTATCGTAGTTAAGGAGCGGTAACATTACCAATCGGGATTTCTCGGGAGAGGAAGAAGAAGCGAGAGAACTGACGAGGGATTCCCAGGAAAAATCCGAGCTTTGGAGGGCGGAGAATTCATCGGAAGAGAGTAAGGATTTGATGCGTGAATTGGGTTCCTCCACCAACCTCCCAAGGAGAAAGCTTGTTTGGTTGCTCAGCCAACGCCGAGAGTGAGGGCTACTCGCCGAAGCCTTGTGCTTTAAACCCCTTCTCGCAGCTGATAAAACTCGGCAGACTAACGCCATGGCTCTGTTAGTTCGTCTACTCTGCTGGAAAGTCGGAAGAAAACCAACTCACATAAGCACCAGAGAAGTGCAGGCCCAAGCCCAAGTACAACCCAGGCCCAAGCTCAAGTCCAACACAGGCCCAAGCCAAATCTTTCACCTACCGATGACAATGTGGGGGCGGTGGAGAGGGGTAAGGGAAACGATTTTTGCACATTTGTTTTCGCTTTTAAGATAACCTTGTATGCTTCTGTCTCCGAATTAAACAAATTAGCTGATACAAAACTATATGATAGCACCCAATTTTTTTCGATTCGGCAGTTCGACACAACATAAAAGGCAAAAGACTGAGGTAAACGAAGTTTCTCCAAAATAAAGAGCTTGTCAACTCTATGGTCCTTCCCAATCCCTTTGAGGGCTTTTCGCTTTTAAGATAACCTTGTTTGCTTTTTGTTTCCGAATTGGACAAACCATAGGAGAATCAATGAACAAGAATAAACAAGCGCGTACAGAAGTCGTTTTCCATGCCATTCACGTTCTCACCCTGAATAAACAAGAACCCCAACTAGTAAAACATCATGATGTAGTGCAAGGTGCAAGGGTACCGGCTATCGACATGCGTGCGAGTCAAACGAGGTTGTAAGGAAGCTGACTGACGAGATCCCCTAAAGGGGTTGGTTGATAAGTGGGAATTGGACATGGACATAGCTCACTCTCCTGAAGAAACTGAAATCCAATTCCAAAAGTATCTCTACATTACAATGTAAAACTTTATTCTGCCTGCTTAAAAAAACGGAGCACATGAATTTTACACGTCATAGTACTCTCCAAACTTCACCAGAAATTTGAGGGTGGTGGTTTGGGGGATACAACAGAAATATCGGTTCCGGTTTTACAATAAAAGAGGAAAATTTAACATTACGAAAAGAAAAATCCACTCACCCCATATGGAATCTCATGTAGAATATCTGCATCCACAAAATCACACTTGCGCACTTTTCCCTTTGTTTTCGGAGGAAACTAATCGAAGGGACTCACTTGTGCTCTATTTTCTGCTGATGTGAACTAAAACGATCATGGCATGCCAAATTTGGACAAGGCAGACTGGAACACGGATGAAAAGGGTTGAGTTGCATTTTGATCATCGGCTTTAATCTTTATTTGAGCTTTGGCGGATGATGTGTTGACTATACACTCTACCAAAAATGTAGAAGATTCTTCTGCCTTTTGTGCGAAGAAGAAAAACTTGAAGTTGGGGGATTGACCACCGGACGCAATGCAGTGGATGGATTGGCCTTGCATATGCCGTAGGAGAGCTTGAGGCGTTGTCAATGCTGCAACTCCTTGAGGATTAATAGAATACTCCTGCATCAAATGATAGATGAAACTTGTGAAAAAATAAAATATAAAAAAATTGTACAGAAATATAAATCCAGGTATCCAGGTGTAAACATTATGCAGGCCGAATATGGATTCCAAGGTGTACCTGTGATAAAGATATCGGCAGTTGGCGCCACTTCTGCTGGAAAGTTGTTGGATCTAAGACAGCTTTTGGATTAAGCTTCAATGGAGGAGGTGAAGGTGCAGGCGCAGGTGCAGTAGGTAGTCCCAAGCCAAGGAGATCATCAATTGCAAAGCTAGGCTGCGGAACATTTCCAGACACGCTAGGGTTTGAAATTGCCAACTCCGACAGTTGAGAAGTGGGAACAGACAAGGACGAAGCATCATATGAAGGAGCACTATATGCAGAAGAACTATTATTGAGACCTCTTGTCTCCTCCTTCTCTGAAGTACTTAATAGCAGATCCTTATCATTAGCTTCAACTCTATTAGGAACAACAGTATCTGTAGATTCTGTCCCAATAGATAAATTTCCAATTTCATCTGAAAACTCAAACGGTCCTCTGTGTTCCTTATAAGTAAACATGTAGGATGGCTGCAAGCATTTCAAAATATCAATCTTTGTGAGGCCTCCCTTCAACAAAGCTCTCAATATATTGTAAATAAGCGAAAACATGGCAATCAATAAAGGTAAGTACATATGGTTTACAGTTATATTCAGTAGTCACATATACAATGTGTGTGCCTTTTGTTCGTCTATCCTGACACCCAGGAAGGGGAATGGGAGTGTTGTTTTCTTTTAATATGTAATCATTTACATGGGAGGGGAATTGTTATTACCTTTTGATATACCACAGACAGACTGTTAAATTCGTCGAATATCCGATCTTTGATTTCACTGCTCTGGGTATCAGCAAAGACAGAAACAGCTTGCTTTGGAGGGTTCACAACTCGTTCTGCTACACTTATGTTATATTGCAAAAGCCTGTAGTAGAATAAGGCTCGATCATGAACATCCTGCAACCAATTGATAGTTTACTGAACATTCCTAAAGAAAATATGACAAAATTCTCACCAATAGAAAATAATTGTAGAAGTAGAAGACTTTAAAGTTAATCATACAAAATAACAACAAACACACAAGAACAGGCACCTGATGAAAATCAGCAAGGCCTGCAGCCAATGCAGCTCCCAAGGATTTTTGAGTCTCAGGCGCCCTCTTAAAAAAACACTTCATTACTGCTGTGAGTAGATGTAAACGAACCTGTGCAATGAAACTGTTCCATCACTCAATAGTATATAAGTAATTAATAGCACAACAAGAGGTTTAATTCATGAATTTGTACCATTAGAGGTTCAAAAGTATATCTATAGCTGTAAAATGCAAGAAAGAAGACCACAAGATCCTAAACAATCCCCACATTTTATACATTTAAATACAGAAATACTAGACCCCAGTTTTGTTATTAAATTCCAAGCACTAGGATTTGAACCCACATTGGGTGATCAATTGAGACAGCAACACAATACTTTTTCTTTTCATTCATAAAACCCGAGTATATTCTGAGTAATTTATAACCATCAAGAGGCTAAACAGGATATGGATCATCATCAAAACCAACTAAGATACACTTCACCAAAACAAAATAACTTAATATCTTCTGTTTGCCACACGAAGTGAAGACATTGACATATAAACTGTGGCTCATTAAAATTTCAGCATATGTTTAGACGGAACAAAAAATGGAAACTTGGTAAATTACCTCAGCTGAATGCTCATCTTCCCAATTTTCAATCAAACCCTCTAAAATATAAGGTGCATCATGCATTTCGTGAGAATACTCCCCCAGCATCCATATAAGAGCTGCCTTGGCCTTGGGTTCTTGAACATTTTTGCTGCTGATGTTCCCAACAACCGCAATACAATCCTGACTCCATTGTGGATATTTCCTCAGCAGATCTTTTACAAGAACCTGTATAAAAGAACTCCAAACTTGAGTCATTCTGGCCAGTTATTGAGTATATAAAAATAACATGATCATTACTTTGCTTTTATTTTCTATTTTCCTTCACTTTCTTTAACTGACCTATACAATCTCTAAGCCATTTAACATATCATTCACAGGAATGAACCACAGTAAACTGGTTGCTCAGAATTACCATTATAAGTATCTAACAGAACTAAAAAATGATGATTTACCAGAGCTTCAGCAGTTACATAGTCCTTTTCCATCTCCAGAAATTGAAGAAGTCGGTCAACAATTGCATTCACGTCATACTGTTGTAGAGCTATTTTCCCAACTGCACGAATCGACTCTCTTGCAATGGGAATATCAACATTTGCAGCATATTCACATAATTCCGTCACTGAAATGGAATCAAGATCATGCATCAAACTTGAAAGCTAGCAAGAAAAACAGCACCCGTGACCAAACCAAAGAAAGGATCACCTTAAGAACACACTTTTACCATGTCACAGACAGACACAAATACACATATACACATACACTCAACCTATTGCTCAAGAATCTGTAAGGAATTTCAGGTGGTGTTTTCTTACCGATTTCGTAAGTGTTACTCTCATTTGCCACCGCAGTCAACATCTCAAGCTTCAACTTTTTAACATAAGATGGCTCATTGTACTGGCAATAAAAGTGTTTATAGTCTGAAGAAAATATGAAAGGTGCACGCATCACCAAAAGATGCAGATGGCTTAGAACCGCATAAGATTGCTCTGGACTTCCTGAACTCACTAAGGTCAGGAGAGGAGCTTTGATGCGTTCATATACCTAACCAATAAAAAGAGGGAAAATAAACTTTAATTAGAGGAGTTAATCTTATAAAATAGCACGAATAGTACACGATGGTGCAACATGGATCATAGGCATAAAAGTCAAAATCATCAGATCCTCAAATGTTATTTCTTTTCCATGCTAGAATCACTTTTGATACCATATGGATTATTTTCCAACTAACAAAAAAAGGGATGACTAGCAGCCGAAAGTTCTTCTATATTGCTATATATAGAGTAGCTCCTATATGATTATGCAACTACGAGAGGTTACCTTTTCTAACATTAAAACAGCTATATTTCTTCCTACATTTTGAGTTGCAAAAATAAAAGTTTAAATGATATTATCTTTATGTTTACCTGCTGATGAACATCAGTCATTGACAGAGTCAATTGAAGAAATACTTTAGTGGTTGCTAAGACAACAGCACCATTTGCATGCTGAAGTCTATCCTCGAGCAGATTCATGACATCAAATATCTCATTGGGATCTGCAGGTACATACTTAGCTACCAGCTCAAGTACCAGACATTGTGCCCATTCACTAAATTCCCTAATCCTGCATAGGAGAACATGTACCAAACTCAACTGCTGTTTTTTTCATCATTAGTTAAGTTAAATGGAATTATTGATATTAAATCATTTTGAACAATTAAAAATTGGCCCCGAGTGAGAAAGTTGTCATATTACTTTGGCTTTCTACTTATGCACTATGTGGAGGAATCACCATTAGATATTATATTCACTATACCAGCATGATGCAGAACCCATATGGAAAAGAGAAGAGAGAGAGGGAGAGAGATAAACTACCGGTTCAAAAGATAGTATATAACTGGCTTGCTAAGCAAAATTTCTCTTTCCCTGGATACTTCTTCAGACGCGCTTCCTTCTAAGCTCCAAATCTCTTGTAGGGCAGACAAACAATTTGCAACCACCTGACAATATAAGAATATGAGAATCTCTTACCTAAAAAAACAGACGAAACTTCCTGAATCATCCATAACGTTCAATAAAACATGGTGAAAAAAATTAGGCAACATTTAAAAAACTGGAACATGTATAAGTATACATCAGATAAATGATTATTTGATTATTATATCTAAAGCATTGAACTTCGTTCTTCAGCCGATGCTTTATCCTTTTAAAATACAATTTTAGGACAGCATCAAAATCAGCAAAACTTAATATAAAAACAACCCAAAGTAGGGAGATTGTTGTCAAGTTACTTTATAGTTGACCAAGTAAGGAGTATCACTGGTGAAAGAGAGGCCTCAGTATAATAGTTTCAATTGTCAAAGCATCCTTAAGCAAGACATTGTGAGATAAGTGAAATGACCTTACCTGAGTATCCCGGTCGTTAAGCAACAAATGCTTAAGCGTGGTTGGAAAATCTGCATCAACACAAGTTGAGGCCGATATATGATATAACTTCAGAACCCCCATAACTGCTATCATCCTCACATAACTATTATTGTCCTTCAAACCTGCACCTAAAGGCCCCACCAAATACTCCACGAGGTTTGTCACTCGTAGCGAACACAAGCTCCTCAATGCAAGCCCTCGGATCATCGGGTCCTCATCTTTGCAATCTCTTTGAAGAAAATTGATCGTCAAAAGTGCAAGGTCCGGATTGACCTTTGCATAATTCCCAACATAAAGGTAACACATTTTCTTCAAAACTATATCCGACGTTGCTGAGCACATCACCATCTCTCCAAAAACAGACGAGACATCAATGCCAATCGTCATGTAAGAGATAACCTTCTTGAAAAGCTCCCTCTTTGAATCATCAACTCCCGGAGCTCGGCTGCCGGCAAGATTCCGGAGCTGCGATTTCACATCAGCAACTTCGCCTTTTCTGCTTGGAAAGTAAGTTGTGAGTATGGAATCAAATAATTAACTGATGAACATGCAGATTGTTAATGAGAGATTAAACCACGATACGAATGATTCCCAGAAAATGCTGAAACAATTGGAGTAGAATTTGCTTTCTAAGTTCAAATTACGGCTTTCAAAAGATATAGAAAGATCATAACTTTACTTTGAATTCAGCTGTGCTCGGTTTTCTTATCGGAATTTGAATATAACTCTTCAAAACAGTTCCTCAGAAAGTAAATTACTAAATACACTGATAATTCACATACAGACGACCGATGAATGCAGGAAATGAGATTGACCCAAAACTAATCGAAATTTCTTCTACTGTTATAGAAATGCCAATTTTCTATAACAAAATTTTCTCGGGAACCAAACAGGTGATCAGCGTTGGAGACTAGGGTTTAGAGAGAGAGAGGGAGGGAGGGAGGGAGAATCTGGACTTACCCGGAAGGCTGAGACGGTGAAGAAGATCGCTGAGCCTGCGCCGGAGGAGCCATGATCGATCGGAATTGAGGTCGGCCACGGCCGTACGACTGCGTCCAGTGAGCTCGGAGATCTAATCGAGGACGAAGAGTTGGCCACTGAATCTCAGAAACCAAATTGGAAAAACTTGAAAGAGGAGCATCCAAGCAGCCTTCCCCACAGGAGAGAGAAACTTGTCGAGACGATGACCTGACGTGGCTGGATGGTATTGGTTGTCTGTAAATTCTCCCCTCTTCTGTGCTGCACTGGTACAATTGGGCTCCAGGTCCAGAAAGCAATGAACAAAAGTACAAAATAATTGGTTTCAATGGGCTTTTTCCTGGAAGGCCCAACAGCCCAACAATATCATCTAGAACGGGTTTTTTATGTGCTCTATTGTAATTGTCATGGCAAAGCCACCAGCTACATTTTTTTTTTTTTTGTTAAAAAAAAAAAAAAAAAAAAAAAGGCTCAAGGATGATAGGAACATTGGTGAGGAAATTGACAGAAGTTAACATATTTTGTCCTTGAATGAGAACACTTTGAAAACCATGGGAATCAAGTTTGCTGAAATTGGAAATATAGGGATGAAAGTGAAATTTGTTTGTGTTACATGTAAGTTATGTGCAACGCTTAGAAAAGACGTGAAGAGTATGACTCAGTACGCTTTAGATGAATGATAGTGTAAACTAGTATTATAATGATACTACTACACATGAATTGTACGCAAGTACATTTTTTGTGACTTTTTGACATAAAGTTGCTCAGTAGAAGAAGAAGAAAAATGTGAAATCTATGTTACAAGGATTGTTTAAACATTACATTTTGGAGTGGATTTTTTATGTTTAAGATATTGGAGACAACTATAATATTGTGTGGATAATGATATGTACACGAGCGTACAGTTACTTTACAAGTGGAAGAAAGTGCAGTCTATGAGCTTGCCCACATAGTTTCAACATGTCAAAACTTGATCATAAATACAGATAAAACTATGCCTCTAATCAAAATACATATTAGTTGGCTTTGGTTTTTAGGATTACGGGAAGCATTAATCAAAGCAAACTGTATCTTAAGCCTACAACTAGCTTAGCTAAAATTGTGCAAAAGCTGGAGTTGAATATCATGATATTATGAGTTTGTTATTTGGTTCTTGGTAATAAGAATGGTTGTTTGTTAGTATATTAAGTTAGGGTCTGAACGAGAACTAACAATCTTACTCTATCTCATAAACCCTTAACATCATCCCGAGTTCTTTTTGATTGGATAACATTATCTAAAGTTCAACTCAATCCTTAAATTTAAAACTGAAAATATAACTTTAGCCCCTAAAACTTAATTTTCTCTACCTAAAACCCGAAATATGTTTTTTTCTTGAATAAAACCCATTAACTAGATCCACATCAGCAAATTCATTAATTATGTTTGACTTCACACATTAAAAAATTTCGGATGCCTAAAATACCCCTATTTGAATTTTTTTTTTTTTTTGATAAACCCTATTGAATGTTTGATGTACATAATTAATGCCATGTGGATAGATGGTAAGAGAGAATTAATGATTTTACAAAAAAAAAAAAAAATGTTACAAATTCATTGCCTAATATATAATAACATAAAATATGTCTAATGTATGTTATTATACAAGCTTTATTGCTTAATTAATTCAATAAAATTATATTTTACAGATTAATGAAGGTAAATTATTTCGCGCACACACACACATATATATATATAAATGCTTGATATATGCAAAATTCATGCAAAATAATTTACCTGCAAAAAAAAAAAACATTTGATTCAAATAGTGCACCTACTATTAAAATTTTAAAATATTAGATTGCTTAAAAAAAGAAAAATAATATACCCAGTATATGTAAAATACATGAAAAATAATTTACCTACATAATAACAAACCCATACATGCAAAATACATAAAAACTAATTTACCTTATAAATTCATTGTTTTATTTTTAAAAGAAACAATGTTTCTACTAGGTTTTTTTTTTTTTTTTTTTTTTTTTTTTTTTTTTTTTCCAAAAATAAAGTACCTATTATTTAATTTTTACGAAAATTGTGTACCTATTGTGTAATTTAAAAAAAAAAAAATTACACATTGTTTATTTTTTTTTATGAAAATAATGTAAGTATTGTTTAGTTTTTACAAGAAACAATGTATCTACAAGTTTATTTTTACCTTTTTTTTATTTTTTTATTTTCACAAGTTAATGTATCTACTTTTTCAATAGAATGTATATTGAACTAATTAGATTTGGATTAGGCGATTTCACATAAAAGAAGAAAAGAACTTCTTTTTTCTTTTTGTTTTTTTAAATTAAAAGCAAAAAAAACTTGAATTAATTGAATGTTGTTGACAAACAAAAGACAATAAATTAAAAGTCTACAAAAAAACCGTAATAGCCATATTAATGTTGGTGGCATGGTGTTGTAAATAAATTTAAATGTATGGACATCTTTTATCTTACATGACATCAAATTCAAAATTTGGGTTTTATTTAGATGTTTTAATATAGGTGGGTTTATGTCTAGAGTTCAACAGTTGTAAGGGGCTAAATCTAAAGCACCCAATTTAAAATACATATAATCTTCGACAAATTTTAAAATCCATATAATCTTCGAAATTTCAGGTGTAATAATATAGCATTGTCATTTAGATTTTCAATGTTTCCCCTACTTATAAATAGAGGACGTATCCTAGTTATTTATTTACAATTTACAAAGAGGGAGAGCAATTGAAAGAGGGCAAAGTCTATGAGAATTTGCTTGAAGAAAAAAGGCTTAGCTGTTAGAGTTTTTACCTCAACCAAATCAAAGCAATGAATAAAAATGTGGGTAAAAATGCTTAGCAATTAGAGTTTTTACCCCAACCAAATCAAAGCAATGAATGATAAAGGTAGAAAATCGTTTGCTCTTCTTCATATTGACTCCCCATTTTGAGTGAATTGCAAAAAATTATGAAGTAGAGCATATAGGAGAATGGGAGTGAGTGAGTAAATATTCTCTATATGATAAGCTCGCTTTGCTTTTTGTTTAAGGTTTGATGGGTGACTCTATTCTCCTTTAGAGTTGTGTTAAAGTCTAAACAAGTGTCACCAGATGCGCAACTTTCAATTAACTCTTTAATATGTCAAAACTTTATCCAACAAGTGAAGTCGCTCCATTGTGACATCCCCACTAGGAACACCCCTTGATGGTTACTTTCAATGATCAAATGAAGGATTGAGTATTGTCTAGGGATGAATTTTGGACGGTAATTTTCGAAAACTCTGAATTTTGCTTACATTTTTCTATAAGATATTGAAGTCTACAATGGATGCTAGGCTACTCAATTTATTCTATAATGAAATATTTATCTGCAATTTATTATTTTTCAACCCATACCTAAGCTCGAATACACTATTTAAAGATAAAAGTATTTAGGGTTTGAATTGTATGTTTATTCTTCTCTCTAGGAGGTAAATATATAGTTGTACAATATCCCACATAACAGGAAATAAGAATCCCAATTATACAAGGAATAAATTATAGGATTACATTCCTAAACGAAATAGTTGACTCACGCCAACACTCCCCCTCAAGTTGGTGCATAGATATCTCCTAAGCCCAACTTATCAAATGAGTCTTGAAACACCCTTGCTGAAACTGCATAAGTTAACACATTTGCTAATTGTTCTTCAGACCTCACGTATGGAATATCAATCAATTTGACATCTAACTTCTCTTTGATGAAGTGTCTATCTACCTCCACATGCTTTGTACGATCATGCTGAATGAGATTATTGGCTATTTCTCTCATAGCTTGATTGTTGCAGTATAATAACATAGCTCATTAAGGCTTGAACCCAATCTCAGTGAGAAGAATCCTGAGCCATAACAATTCATAAATTCCATGTGTTATCCCTCTGTACTCTGCCTCAGCCGTGGATCTAGCCACTACATTTTGCTTTTTGCTTCTCCAAGTTACCAGATTTCCTGCTACGAATGTGAAGTAGCCTGATGTGGAGTGACGACCAGTAATGTTTCCCACCCAATCAGCATCAATAGACCCCTTTACCTCTATATGTCCATGTTTCCTGAAGATCAGTCATCTACCCGGTGCACCTTTTAGATAACTCAGTATACGCATCACTGCTGCCATGTGAGCCTCACTAGGAGCATGCATGAACTGACTTACAACATTAACTGCAAACGCAATATCCGGATGTGTAAGTGATAGGTAAATCAACCGTCCTACCAATCTTTGATATCTTTCTTTATTGGTAGGAACTTGATTCTGGTATATCGCCAAGTGATGATTCTGCACAATAGGAGTTTCAACTGGTTTACTAGCCAACATTCCAGTTTTAGAGAGAAGATCAAGAACATACTTTCGCTGAGACAAGTAAATACCATCACGAGAATGAGCAACTTCAATGCCCAAGAAGTATTTCAAGCCTCCTAGATCCTTTATCTCAAATTCTAATGAAAGAAACCCCTGCAACCTTTTTATCTCTTCTGTGTCATCACTAGTAACTACCATATCATCTACATAGATAATTAATAAAGTAACTTTACCTTCCATGCGTTTGATGAACAGAGTGTGGTCTGCATTTCCCTGTCTATAGCCGTACTTTTTCATTACTTCAGTGAACCTTCCAAACCATGCTCTGGGTGATTGTTTGAGTCCATAAAGAGCATTTCGGAGTTCCCTGCTTCATTCGGTGTTTCATATCTTGGTGAAAGATCCATTTATACTTCTTTTTCTAGATCTCTATGTAAGAAAGCATTCTTCACATCAAACTGTTTCAAAGGCCAGTCCAGGTTAGCTGCTAAAGATAAAAGGACTTGAATAGTAGTCATTTTTGCGACCGGAGCAAATGTTTCTTGATAGTCAACTCCAAATGTCTGTGTGTACCCTTTAGCTACCAATTTTGCCTTGTATCTATCAATAGACCCATCCGCCTTGTGCTTTATGGTGAACACCTATTTACATCCCACTGGTCTCTTCCCATGTGGTAGTGACACAACATTCCACGTTCCATTTCTTTGTAAGGCTTCCATTTCTACTCCCATGGCTTCTACCCAACGATGGTCTTGCAAAGCCTCTTCCACTTTTGTTGGAATTTTAATCCCAGCCATTTGATTCACCATGGCTTGTACTTGGGTGATAGTCAATGAGTGGACACATACTGTGCAATTGCATATCTCACTTTTCCTTCTAGAGAAAACCTGTCAGGTGGTTTCCCACGGTTTTGCCTAGAAGGTAAAATATAGGAATTTTCAACAATATCTAGAGTATAAGAACGTACCTCTTGGATATCCGCGGGGACATGAGCGTGTACTAATGGAGGAGAATAAGGATTATTTTCTGTTTGCACAGTCTCAATATCACTCGCGGACCCATTACCTTCTACTGAATCTATAAATGGTGTAGGCTCATTATTCAACGCTGCATGAGCTATCTCTTGGTCAGGAGTTTCACGGTCAAGATCTGCTGGGCTTTGGCTTGTTGTGTCGTTGGTCACTACTAGGCTATGAACTGCTGCGTCGCGACCCTTTGGTAAGGTGTGGTTAGGTGGGTTGCTCATAACATCTAAGTCTTCAATCTCGGTCTTGTCTGTACTATTAGGACCATGCCAACTGTCTCATTCATGTGGAACATCAAATCAACTGTAGTCTTCGTATTTACTATTCAACTCCCCTTAAAGAGTACAGTGGGTTTGATCAGAGATGAAAAACAGCTTAGTTTGGGAAAACATTACATCCATGGTGACATAGAAATGCTTAGTAGGTGGATGGTAACATCGATATCCCTTATGTTGGCTATTAAATCCTAGAAATGCACAACGAACAGCACATGGATCCAATTTACTTCGTTGATTCTTGTGAAGATGCACATAAGCCACACATTCAAATATGCGAGGTGATAATTGAAAAGAAGATGGTAGAGTGACATAATCCGTCAAGACTTCCATGGGAGTTCGGAAGTTATGAACTCGACAGAGCATTCAATTAAGAAGATAAACGGAATACATAACTGCATCCACCTAATAGGCATGAGGAGCATGAGCCCCAATTAGAAGTGCCTGTGTAGTTTCCAAGATATGTTTGTTCTTACGTTCTACCACACCATTTTGTTGAGGAGTTTGAGGACAAGTAGTCTCTTGAAGTATGCCGTGCTCTGCGAAAAATTGTGATAGTTCAGAATTAAGATATTCTCCACCATTATCGGATCTCAGGACTTTGATAGGAAGAGAAAATTGATTTCCAATCATTCGATAAAACTGTTGGAAAATTTGCCCAACGTCACTCTTCTGTTTCATGGTATAGAGCTAAGTCATTCTGGTGCAATCATCTACAAAGGTAACAAACCACCGGATACCGTGGCGCGTCGCAATTGGTGAGAGACCCTATACATCAGAGTGAATTAACTTAAAGGGCACTGATCTTGTATTGAGACTCAAGTGGTAAGAAGTACGATGACTTTTTGCAAGAATGTAATCCTAACACTGAAAATCAGAGTCTGAAACGCCATTAAATAAAGACGGAAGTAATTATCTTAAATAACCAAAAGATGCATGTCCTAGTCGACGATGCCATAACCAGATTCTCTTAACCTTGTTGTTATGACCACTACTCACTTGGTTGACTCCGCCTGGTACCACATCATCCACATAATATAACCCTCTCCTCTTAGTACCACGCCCAATGATCGTCCGTGTTTGGATATCCTGTAGGAGACAAAAAGTGGGAAACATGAGTACAACACAATCTAATTGTTCCGTAACTTGACCAACAGAAAGTAAATGATTCGATAGTGAAGGAACAAGAAGAGTGTTATGCAGAGATAAAGAGGGAGTAAGGGCGATCGAACCAGCTTCTGTAACTGGACCAATTTCACCGTTTGCTGTGATAACATTCTCCATGGGTGGCACGGTTAAGTAGTGAAACAAGGATTCATCATATGTCATATGATATGTAGCCCCAGAGTCAATTATCCAGCCAGAATCTCGGTTAACAGATGATGTGAATGCAATGCCAATTTTACTTGGATCATCGGATTGTTCTTGGGACAAAATCAAATTTAATAATGAAAGTTGCTGGTCCATATTGTTTGGGTCCGGTTCTAATTCTTGGTGGTCTTCCGTTGGTGGGCTAAGTGGGCCTTTGCCTATTCTGCTGCCACCATCATGATTTGCTTGCCGTCCAACTGTGTGGGTTGTAGGCGCACCTGCTTGCTGCCCAATTGAATTATGGGCTTCGTTTGAGGCAAGAACTGGATCCATGATGTTCACGGTTTGGTTGTTAGCCATGGAGGAACCGATCGGTGCTTCATATTCCTAGGATGGCTACAACATTCATATGTATTTAAAATAATTAACATTTAACAGTCAGATATGTCACTTCATAAAAAAAAAAAAAAAAAAACCGTCAGATATGATTTATATAAATATATGTATTTATTATAATCATCATTTAATGGTCAGATAATGATTATATTAAATATACGTAAGTACGCTAACCGAATTCCGAATGAATGTTCAGTTTGTAAAAAATTGAGTTATTTGCGATAGCAAACCGCACCGTTTCCAGTCTATCGGTAATTCTCTCCCTCGTCAGTCCCCCGCCTCCAAGATTTCTCCCTCGTCAGTCCCCCGCTCCCATGGCTGCTCCCAAATCATAGACAAAAAATCAAAATAACAAAAATCTTCAGATATGGTTCTGCTTTACCTCCCAAGAACCCACATATCCCTCTCCACCCATTTCTCTCTTTTCCCGAAACCCAAAACCCCGGCCTTGGCCACCGCCACAACTCTCCCCCCAATCCTCACCTCCGCCCTCTTCTCAGCCCCCAAATCCACCCTCTCAGCTTCCGAACCCATTCCCATTTCCGAATTGCCGGAACCCCAAATCGAACCCCCTCAGGAATTTGAAACCCACATCGAAATCCCGCTCGAAAAGCTCTTCGTGCCGCCGGAAACCGAGGTGTCGTACACCGACGCCGGTGCTCTGAGCACCCGAATCTTGAAAGGGTCCAATATTCTGCTCAGTAAATACGCCAGGAACGCTCAGGTGGACCAGGCCGAGTTCGTGAAGAGCAGTGTGAGGACTGAGGATTGCCCCTCTGATGGTCTCCCGGAGTTTGCTCTCGTGGGTCGGTCCAATGTCGGCAAGTCCTCGCTGCTCAACTCGCTGGTGCGACGGAAGCGCCTCGCTTTGACTTCCAAGAAACCTGGTCAGTAATTTGTACTGTAAATTCAATCAATTCAGTTTTCAATTTTTGGGTTGGATGCATTATTCAAGTCCTATAGTGAAGAAAAGCCAACTAAAAATTAGTATTCGTTTGATTCGGGGTGCCGGTTTATTGAAGATTTCGCCATAAGCTCAACAAATTTAAGGATAATGTTGTTGCTTTGCTTGATTGTCTTGTGAAGTTTAGTAGAGTTTGAGAGATACCCTGATGTATGGCATTGTGGCATTTTGGTTTGTGGATTGATCATGCGTTGAAGCATCTTGATTCGCTTTTCGTTCATTATTTCTTGCAGGGAAAACACAATGTATCAATCATTTTCGGATCAATGATAGCTGGTACCTGGTGGATTTGCCAGGCTACGGGTATGACTGAAAGATCTGTCTATTTGATTTCTACGATTCTTTTTGTTTGTGGAGAAGATGCAAACATACTAGTCTGAAATTTCGGATGGTTGCTATGATGAAGAATTTAATTTCCGAGAGCTGTGCGGAGCGCATTACTTGTTGGTTTTAGTTTCTTTACAGTTTGCATTATGCTAGGATTCGTTCTGTTCCTATGATTATGCTCCTGCTAATTATACACACGAGACTGCTGATTTCTCCCTTGTTTATGTGAGTTTCTACTGATGGTCTTGTCGTATCTTTGTGTGTTGTGTAACCTGGCAGGTATGCAGCTGCACCACAGGAACTTAGAACTGACTGGGTTAAGTTTACTAAAGACTACTTCCTGAATAGGTCGACATTAGTTTCGGTTTTCCTTCTCATCGATGCCAGCATTCCTGCCAAAAAAATTGATCTGGAGTATGCTAGTTGGCTGGGTCAGAATCAGGTAATATCCTTTATTAACATTTGATCCTCAGATTACCAGATTGATTAACGTTAGCTTTCCGGCGGCATTGCCTGGCACTAGAGATTCCGACAAATACACACTTGTTTATTTTCTTCAGAATGATGAAGAAACATACATGGTTAATCTAATCTTGAGTTGGCCTCCCTAAACATATCCGGCCGAAAAGTTTCAGTTTTTCGTTTTGTATATGCGAAGGAGAGCATGTCCCTTGGTTGGATGTAACTAAGCATTCGTAAAAACTAAAGGGGCGCTTTCTTGAGCATGCTTCTAATTCTATGTGCCCTTTCAGATTCCTATGACTTTGATATTCACCAAATGTGACAAGCGGAAAAAGAAGAGGCACGGAGGGAAGAAAGCAGAAGAAAATGTGCAGGATTTCCAGGAGTTAATAAGCGGCTTCTTCGAGACCGTGCCTCCGTGGATTATGACCAGCAGCCTGACCAGTCAGGGTCGTGATGAGATGTTATTACATATGGCTCAGCTGCGAAACTACTGGCTGAAGCACTAGGAAAACCGAAAACTTGAATCTTGCCATCACAATCTCGAGTAGGTCCGCTGTCTAAATTGTTCAGATAAATCCAAGTACAAGAACCTGTGATAAAATCCCAACGTTACACAAAGTAGTTTATCCACGAAGACTTTGTAAGTTGTTTGTTGCATCTGAAAATGGTGTTTAAATTGGCAGCCATACATTGAGTAAAAGGAGAGAACGTGATTAATTTGGCAAAAGCTAATAGTTGCTCGATTTTGTTGTTGAAATGGAAATTTTTTCCTTCAACTTTATGCTCCTTTAATCTTGTGTAAACCTATTGAAATCTTTATTTAAAGTTCAGGAACCATAATCTTTGCATTTCGACGTTGTGCTCCTTTTGTAACTTACATATTTGTATCCCAGCCTGCATCAACTTGATGTCTATATTAATCACAGATTGAACACTTACTACACTGGTAAGAAATCAAACAAATCCGACTAAACTTGTCAGAAATCAAGCAAATCCAAAAATCTCCACAAGGGTTGAGAAGTTGTTTTAGGATTGCACTCTGATCATGTACTTCTAAACATCCTGTGTTCCTTCCTGTTATCCCTTTTCAGTTCATATTCTTTTTAGGTCCAAGTTCTAACCCAAGATCTTGGATGCAAGAGTACAATCCCTAAACTCGGGTGCAAGATTCAATCCTAAGACCTCAGGAGAGATTCAATCCCAAGACCTCGGGTGCAAAATTTTAATCCCAGGACCTATGCAAGATTTCGAACCCAAGACCTATGGCGTAAGAGTTTGAACCCAAGACCTATGGCGCAAGAGTTCGAAGCCAAGACCTTTATGCGCAAGAGTTCGAACCCACGACCTTAGGTGCAAGGGTTCGAACTCAAGACCTCAGGTACAAAAGTTCAATCTCAAGACCTAGGGTACAAGATTTAAATCTGAAGACATCAGGTGCAAGAGTTCGAACTTAAGACATAGGGTGCAAGAGTATAATCTAAAGACATCAGGTGCATGAGATTGACGCCAAAAGTTTCGATGAAAGCATATTCCCAAGACTACGAATGCAAAGTGATCTTAATCACTTAAATTACAAGCACCTTAGCATCCGAGTTAAATGTGCAACCTAGTATAATTCCAATTCATTAACAAAATAGAGGCAACTTCAATCTTCGGAAGATACCATGAAGCTAAAGACATGCTAGGATCAACCCAACAAGAAAAATAAAGGCCAAATGTAATTGTAACTGAGAGTCATTTCCGTTCATATCAAAATGCAGCTGCGAATCGAGACAGTCTAAACAAAATTCAAGTGAAATTCAGAACTATCAAGACAACTAAACAAAATTCGAAACAAAAATCCAAACAGGTTTGAGTTCAGTGGGCTCAGAAAACTTATGAGGAAGCAGCAGCAGCTCCCTTGCTCCTTGGAGCAGCCTGTGTACCTTCAAGGAAGCCGCTCTTGAACCTCCTCGGCACATTCCTCAGGTACCTCATCCGCCCAGTTCCGGTAGTCTTTCGGCGCAGCGCCTTCTCACTCCAGTTATCTGAAACAACCCCAAATAATCAAAAATTAAAACTTGCACACTTAATTACATATAATTAATTCAAAAAATTAAAACTAAAAGTTGAGTAGGCTTACATTTTCTGAGACGGGCAGCAGGGTAGGCGCAGGCGGAGCAGCGGCTCTTCTGGAGGTGGAAGCTGCGGCGGCCGCACCGCACACAGAGAGTGTGGGTCTTGTTCCTCCTCTTTCCGAAACTTCCTGTTCCTTTGCCCTAATTCATATTCCCAAATTTACACCATTACAATCGCAATTATAAACTAAACTGTTAATTATAAACTAAACTGTTATCGGAGCTAGAAATGAGAGAGATGAGAGATCGAGAGAGAGTACCATTTCGTTGGTTGCAGAGAGAAACCCTAGATTTCAGAGGAGTTGCGGGAAATCTCTCGCGGACGAAGGTTCAGCTGTTTATATAGCCGTCGTCAGCGACTAGATTAGGGTTTCACTTCCAGCGTTGGGCCTTATTTGGACTGGAAATGTGGGCCCAATGATATAATCACAGGCTTCTCATTTAAATAGGCCCTCTAGTCTAATTGAATGAAGCCCATTTGGTGATACACGTCCATGTCTTGCTGAATCTTCACTAAATTAGTGGAATAGCAACAAATTAGTGCCCGCGGGGATAGCTCAGTTGGGAGAGCGTCAGACTGAAGATCTGAAGGTCAGGTGTTCGATCCACCTTCACCGCAATTTTTTTTCCTTTTCACAATCTTATTACCTGCAATTTTTTTGTTTATTTGTAAAAAGAAAAAAATACAGGCAGTATGGACTTAGCTAGTTAGCTTAACAACTCGAAGTGGTCCTTTTGTGAAATAAAAAATCAACGCAATTTGAACTCAATAACAAAACGAAATTAAGTGTCGCTTTTCTAACGCATACATTAGTGACTCAACTCACCTCATTCTTTTTTATCACTATACCCAAATGGCCACCAACATCGTAATAATATGAAAACTTCCTAATCATACAACTATATAGAACTATAATTATGTGGTGGTGTGTGTATATATCATATCAATCACATACACTATACGTTGAAGATATATATTACTTTTCATGATGCATCAACGAAGAACTAACTTGATCAATGTCGGCAGGGAAATAAGTGGGACACACCAACATATCAAAACATCAACAATTCAAATTCGATTTTTCAAAGTATATTACCAAAGTGGTTGAATTGGCACCATCTTTCTCTCATCTGGGTTTGTTTTTATACCATTTGGCGGTGACAGACATTCCAGAGGAGTAATACTATTCATGATTAGAAAGTGAGCCCCGATATCGTCGATTTGTGACCGTAGATTGGTGGACCATTTGCGTTGGCTAATGATTCCGTGCCATCTGAACGTGATACCGACTTTGTGCATGGTAGTCAATTTATAAAGTTAAGGCTGGAAATGGTCCATCCCCATGCATATCATGTACAAATCAAACCGTTAGGGTAATCAATTTCTCGGACCACAAGCAATTAAGGCAGTTTTGAAGCCGACTATAAAAAAATTGATGGTCCTTATTGGCGTCCATGTACTCAATCATATATATGTATATGTGTGTGTGTATGTATGTATGTCTGTATGTATGTATGTATGTATGTATTACGTACCTCCTAAATTACCCTATCATTAAGCTTGTGGATGATATACAAAACTCACAAAGGACCACTTTGAGTTGTTAAGCTAAGTGCATTTGCTTAAAGATGATTTCATTTGTGTTGTTGATTTGGCTAAGTTCGTAGTTAGCTTTTTAATATGGTTCTTAAAACCTAATTTGCTTTATGTCATTCTTTATTAAATTGTAGGTCTATTTGATTGAACTGTATAAAGGGCAGAGAGGGAGAGCGGGCTGGCGGCAACAAGAGATAAATAGAGGGATTTAATTATGAGGTGTGTGTTGTATCACCCCCTTATGCCTTTATTTATAGTAGTAGGATAGGTTTCTTCCTTACCCTTTTAGGATTACATCTCTTAACAGGTAATCAACTCCTAATAGGAAAAAACTAGATACTCCTAGATATACTAGGATTTATACAATCACATTCCTAATCCAATAGGACTGCAACACTCCTCCTTGAGTGTGTAAATACTCAAACAAAACGTCGCATCAGATCTTCAACAGATGGGGTAGAATAGTTGATGAAGTCATTGGCATAATGGGTGAACGTGAGTCTCAAACACAAGTAAGTAAGTATGCATTGGTAGTAAAACTCACAAAACCTTGCTATGGTAAAACCCAAGGCATGGGGAAAACCCATAGACTAAGGAGAAAAGTGAGAAGTATGCATAATGTCTACAACAAATGTCAAACAGGACAAAAGTAGTGAACTCAACGGAGTATGATCATCCTAAGATGGGTGCCTCAACAAAACCTCGTTAGGTAGTAAAAACCTAGTGGGAAAAATACTCTTAATCGTAGGAAAAAGAGTACATTAAGATCAAGTGAGTATGCTTCAGGATACTCCCTCTGAGTTAGACATAACTTAAAAATAAGAGAACTACAAGCGATTTAATTAAGATAATTTACGCATACCGATTCATTGGATGAGCTTTTGAAAAGTAGACTTGGGCAATGACTTTGTGAAGAGGTATGCCAGGTTGTCCTGGGAACAGATTTGCTTGACTTCAATGTTCTAATGTAGTTGTTGCTAGTGAGAATAAAAGAACTTAGGCGTTATGTGTTTGGTGTTGTCTCCCTTGATGTATCCCTTCTTTAACTGCTCGATATATACTGCATTGTCTTCAAAGATCATCGTAGGAAGGTCAACGACGGAAGAAAGACCACTAGTGCTTCGAATATGTTCCATAACTGTTCTCAGCCAAAAGCACTATCGTGAGGCTTCATGCAGGGCGAGAATCTTAGCATGGTTCAAAGAAGTCGCAACTAGTATTTGCTTGCTAGACCTCCAAGATATAGCGGTGTCTCCAACAGTAAAGACATAACTTATTTGAGAATGTGCCTTATGTGGGTCAGATAGATAACCAGTGAAGCGAGAATCAACCCAAGGACCGAGGAGGGCGGTGGCTCCTCTCGAGGATTCATGGGTGTGGAACAAGCCTAAATCTATCGTACCCTTGAGGTAGCAGTATTTAGCCAAAAGATTAACAGCGAATGAGATGTTGGGTTTAGTGCATTGAGCCAAGTATAATAAAGCACCAATTGCATTTAGGTATGGAACTTCAGGCTCCAAAATCTTCCTCATCCTCATTTGGACGGAAGGGATCTCATTTAGCATCTAGAGTCCGAACGACCATAGGAGTACTCGAAGGCTTTGCTTTATCCTTATTACAACGTCACAACACTTTCTGGGTGCAGTTCGATTGATGTAATAAGATTCCATCCAAATAATGCTTGATCTCTAGGTCGAGACAATATCAAGTTTTCCTAATATCTTTCATCTCAAATTCCGATTTTAAGTGCGTGACAATTTCCTCAAGCTTTGCGGGAGTTATGATAAAGTTCATGTCGTCGACATAAATTGCAACGATCGCAAATCTGGAATGTGACTTCTTAATGAACACGCATGGGCATAATTCATTATTCACATATCCCTGACTTGTCAAATATTCACTCAGACGGTTATACCACATCTGCCCGGATTGTTTAAATCTATAGAGTGATCTCCTCAATTTAATCGAGAAGGCATTCCATGGTCTAGAACTATTTGAACTAGTCAATAGAAGTCATTCTGGAACTTTCATGTACATTTCCGTATCTAGATCCCTATAAAGATACGTGGTTACCACATTCATAAGTTGTATATTCAGTTTTTCAAAAACTACCAAATTGATAAGGTAGCGGAAA